TCAAAATAAAGCCATTTTGAGCCAAAATGGCTTCTCACTTGCCTAATTTCTTCATTTCTCAACTTATAAACTTATTAATTCTCAAACCATATCATAATTACATATGTATAAGTGATTGTGAGTTGAAATTGCATAAAAGAAGCAATGTTCTAAGTTTTTTAGCCCATTTCATCAAAATAAAGCCATTTTGAGTCGAAATGGCTACTCACTTGTCTAATTTCTTCAGTTCTCAACTTATATACTTATTCATTATCAAACCATCTCATAATTACATATTTATAAGTGATTTTCAGTTGAAATTACATAAAAGAAGCTAAGTTCTAAGGTTTTGGGTCCAATTCATCAAAATAAAGCCATTTTGAGCCAAAATGGCTTCTCACTTGCCTAATTTCTTCATTTCTCAACTTATAAACTTATTCATTCTCAAACCATATCATAATTACATATTTATAAGTGATTGTGAGTTGAAATTACATAAAAGAAGCTAAGTTCTATGTTTGTGGGACCAATTCATCAAAATAAAGCCATTTTGAGCCAAAATGGCTTCTCACTTGCCTATTTTCTTCATTTCTCAACTTATAAACTTATTCATTCTCAAACCATATCATAATTACATATTTATAAGTGATTGTGAGTTGAAATTACATAAAAGAAGCAAAGTTCTAATTTTTTGGGCCCATTTCATCAAAATAAAGCCATTTTGAGCCGAAATAACTTATAATATGCCTATTTTCTTCATTTCTCAACTTATAAACTTATTCTTTCTCAAACTATTTCATATTTCGCATGGAAGAAAAACTTCAAAGAGTAAGAGGGTGGACAAGCCTAAAAGCATTGATCAACCTAAGAAGAAGCTAAGTGAACAAAGGTCCAAGAGTGAACAAGCGTCGAAGTTGCACTCTTCGAAAGGTTCACCCATGCAACCTACACCACTAGTTGAAGACATTGTTCTTCAATCGCTATCTGCTGACATGAACTTTGTTCACAACCGTGCTTGTCATTTGGTCGATCCCACGGAAGTTGCACTTCCTAAGGCAATGTTCCACTATGATGAGGATGCAGTTGCATGGATCAGCAAAGAAGATGTGAAGGAATTTCTACGTGGTGCAAAGCTTAACATTTCCTTCATTCAAACATTCATGAGGTACTTCAATGCTCACATAATCTACACTTTTTTCAAATTATTAAAATTTATGGTGATTATCCTACATGTGATTAATTATTCAATGTTCATGCACGCAGAGCACTACATGAGCACTTAACTGAAACTGATTCTCCTTGTAAAGTTGGGTGGTTATGCCCCGAGCATTATACACTACTAGAATCATAGGCAACCCCCATGACGTGTTGTACTATGTTGAGCAAAGTATCAAGGAATCAGCGTGTGCGGGAGACAAGTTCATATTCGCCCCATGTTATAAAGAGTAAGTCTAACCATATCAAATTCAATCGATTTGGCCTCATTATATGTTGACTCCTAAATATTAATTTGCTTGTCTATTGTGAACTTATGTAGGGAGCATTAGAGCCTCATGGTGATTTGTAATTCCAATAACACAATTTATCACCTTGATTCAGTTCAATCATCGGAGAAGTTGCTCGTGAAGTCTATATTGCAAAAGTAATTATATATAGCTACCTAGTGATGATTATTGCTAATAATAACTAATTTAGTATTCATAAGACTAATCAAATTTGAATGTACTTTATTTACTACAGTGTTATGAAGAAGCTACATTGTCGTGCTCCAAAGGGTCCAACATGGAAGTCACCGTTGGTAATTTACATGATATTGTGATTATCTTCAAAATCTATGTTAGTAAATATTTTCTAATTTCCTTTGCATGTTTCACTAATGTGATTTGTTTGTCATATGCTAGTGCGCACAACAAGAAAATGGACTTGATTGTGCTTTGTATGTGATGAGATTCATGCTTGACATTGTGACTCATTGTACGGACACTCAACAGCTTGATAAGGTAAGTCCTAAAACTTAATGAAATGCTATATTGATGTGATTTCTAGCCTTAGACACCTAATATTATCCAACATTGACATGTTATGAGAAATAAAAAGGTCATTTGACAAGAAAGGTAGAAAATGGGCTGAATAGAAGTCATTTGGGCCATATTTGGGCCATTTTGTGTTAATATGCTCTTTTGATGTGATTTCTTTCCTTATACACCTATAATTAGATAATATTGACATGTTATGAGATAAATAAAGTTCACTTAATAAGAAATGTAGGAAATTGGCAAAGTAAAGTCATATAGGCCATATTCGGGCCATTTTGAGTAAAAAGCGTCTTAAACCTTAATAAAAAGCTCTTTTGATTCAATTTTAGGGCTTAGACACATAAAACTAGGTGTCATTGACATTTTATGAGAAATAAATAATTCATTTGATAAGTAATGTAGGAAATGAGCTACATAAAAGTCATATAGGCCATATTTGGGTCATTTTGAGTAAAATGCGTTGTTAAACTTATTGAAATGATATATTGATGTGATTTTTAGGCTTAGACACCTAATATTACCCAAAATTGACATGTTATGAGAATTAAAAAGGTGATTTGACAAGAAAGGTAGAAAATGGGCTGAATAGAAGTCATATGGGCCATATTTGGGCCATTTTGTGTTAATATGCTCTTTTGATGTGATTTCTTTCCTTAAACACCTATAACTAGATAATATTGACATGTTATGAGATAAATAAAGTTCATTTAATAAGAAATGTAGGAAATGGGCAAAGTAAAGTCATATAGGCCATATTTGGGCCATTTTGAGTAAAAAACGTCTTAAACCTTAATAAAATGCTCTTTTGATTCAATTTTAGGGCTTAGACACATAAAAATAGGTGTCATTGACATGTTATGAGAAAGAAATAGTTCATTTGATAAGTAATGTAGGAAATGGGCTACATAGAAGTCATATAGGTAATATTTGATAAAATACATAATGTTTTGCCTAATTAATTAATTCTAACATAATTTTTTTGTATTTCAAGTTTTTCAAGGTCCAAAAGGATGGTCCGTTGACAATCAAGGAGCTTAATGAAGTTCGTGACATGTTGGCGTCTTTTATCACCTTCAACATGTAAATGACATTTTAATTGTAAATTTATGTTAACTTTTGAACTATATTATTATTCATTATATATTTACTTACTATCATTTGTATATATATATATATATAGCACTTTTTTTTTATTGTATTGCGTTTGGGAATATTATATATATATATATATATATATATATATATATATATATATATATGAATTCTTGTTTTTAATATTATTTTTGTATTTTATTATAATATTTAATAATAATATTATAATTAGTAATTATAATAATATTATTAATTATTTTATTTAATATAATATTTAATAATAATATTATAATTAGTAATTATAATAATATTATTAATTATTTTATTTAATATAATTGCTGGAATTACAAGTTATTATTATTGCTGGAAACAAGGTTTTTTTTTAAAATATTATTGCATGAAAAATGGAAAAAAAAATATTGAGTAAAAAGGCACCGATTAACTGGTGCCAAAACTAGCTACCACCAAAAAAAAAAGGCGGGAGACTATTTTAGGTACCGGTTAACCGGTGGCCAAAATAGTTAAAGGCACCGGTTAACCGGTGCCAAAACAAGTATAGGGCACCGATTTTGACCGGTGCTAAAAAGGGGGGTATTTGGCACCCCCCCCCCCACATAGAAAGCGGTTCAAACCGGTGCCTTAGACCGGGTTTGAACCGCTGCCAAAGGGTATTTTTCACCTAGTGTATTTCAGGTTGATAAGTTCAAATAAGAATTAATAAGATAAGATAAGTTCAAGAAAAATAAGTTCAGATAAGTTGTGATAAGGGTTAACTAGGGTTACCCAAGTTTAATTCATAACTAAAATAAGTTCTAATAGGGGTTAATAAGTTCAGATAAGATCAGATAATTTCAGATAAGTAAAAATCGGGTGAATAGAACGCTCCCTTAATTTGTGATTTGTTTTGATTTTGGGGAATTGGTTTTTTCTTTGTATTGGGGATTTTGGGATGTAGATTTGGATTGTGAAAGGAAGGAGTGAAACCCGTTGCCACTTCCTTCTGGCCACACAAACTGTTGGGTGCGGACGTCCGCACCCAATAGTTTGCGATTTCTAAAATATCTTTTTTTAATTAAAAAAACTCTAACTATAGTCAAAGAGTTTAATAAAAAAAAATGACCATTAATGTTACCAATGAATTAGTAAAGATAATTAAATTTTACCATTGATAATAAGTTATTTATTTATTTATTTTATTTTATTTTATTTTTACATTTACCACCGAGAAAATTAAAAAGTTCGAGTTTATCAAAGAGAATTTCCCAACAATATATATTATTTGTCAAATTTCTAATATACTCCATAGCTTGTTTAGGTTCAAAGTTGGTTCTATTGCGGTAGTTTTGGGATTTAGCTAGGTTATTTTGTCGTGATTTGTTGGAGTGTTGTTGATATATACAAAGTACTAGGTTAGAACCCGTGCGATGCACGGTTTATATAAAACCTATTTTTAATTTGTAAATTTGAATAATAAATCGCTATTATACATGAATATAAATAAGAATTACGTACATTTTGCAATTTAAAATCTTTTATTTTCATCAAAACTATGATATAGTATCTGTTCGACGTCATCTAATTCATAGTTCAATAAAGGAGATCATTTATTAGTGTGTTATTAAAAATTGTTTCAATTTCCTTCAATAAATTGATAGGTTTTAGTTGTAAGATAGAAGCTTTTAATATTTAAATTTGAAAAATGTTAAATAGGATAACTCTAAAAAAAATGATATCATCATTGCATTTAGGCGTGAAAATTTTTATTAAGAGAATGACACGTGGATAGTGATGATGTCATCATCTTCTGTTTTAGTAATAGTTAATAGATATTATTATGATTAGGATTGAGATGTAAATGTAGTTGGTTTATACAAAATGGGTATTGCATGAATATAAATTTAATCTCTGAAGCATATTTGGCAATGTAAACAGACTAAACACAACAGCCATACATAACATAATTATTTTCCAAATTAAAGCCAGCATTCTAACAAGTATCATGATACCAAATTAAATCCCTTGTAAGGATTTAATTATAGATCCTAATTTGTAGCACAACCCGAAGATATAAGACGATAAAATACATAATTAGCAGTCAAATAGTACACTTTAGTCCGGATTTAGTCGTTTGACACAATGATTAAGATTCACTATCAACGTGACAACTAATATAATTCCGGCTTAATACAATTAAGCTGCACTAATAGCAATCTTAACTCCGCCTTGGCAATGGCCAGGAAGAGAGCAGATGAAGTAATTTTGACCTTTGGCTAACTTGATTCTATCCTTTCCAGTTTGGTATGCTTTTGCTCCTTTTGGTGAAGTGCAGCTATCATAACCCCTTTTATTTACTAATACCACATTGTGTGTTGTTTTATCATAATTGAATGCTGCCAAAAAAACATAAAACATCATCATTTTGTTCAAATTAATATGTTAAACTTAATCAACTTACATAGTTTCTTGCTTTAGAAAAAAAAAAAAAAAGATAAGACTTTCATAGCTCCTTTTAAGGAGCTAGGCACAATTTGCGGTGAAATTAATAAAGTCAATGTCAGAAAATAGTCTCGACCCTCCTCACAACCCAAACATAATATAAATACCTTTTGTGCCACTTTTTTTTTTTTATAAAAGGGATTCATTATGCAATTATATATGCAAGCAACTTAATCTTGAATTCTAGACATGCAATGCTTTTGAATTTAATTATACATGTTTCTCTTATTTAATATATGTAAGAAAATGTTTCATATAAATTATTACTCCATATAAATTTATATGTATTAACCTTAGCTTTAATTAATTTTGCGGCCCTAGCTTGAATTGTAGAATAAATTAATAATAATGCATGCTTTAATGAACCTCTATAATTTAAAGTAGGTAATGTAATTCAATGGAGTACCATTTATATTTATTTATAGAGATGAAACATTGGGTTTTTTTCCCTAAATAAATGATTGACAAACATACAGTTAGAAACACAATAATGAATAATTAATCGATTATTGACATGTTGATCAGGTAATACATATTGTAACTAGAGGTAGATTCAGCATTTTGAAGATAGGGTGTCGATATACGTTCATGGGGTGTTAGGGACTGTTATTACTATATAAAAATATATGTTTTAGAGAAAAAAAAAAAGATTGCTTTTACATAGTATTATTTTTATGTCCTTTTTTTAAAAAAAAAAAAATATGTACGAGAAAAAGCAACAACAAGAAGAATTGAAATATTAATCCCAAAGATTTAGTTGAAATAAAGAAGTAATTAACGCGAAGTGAACGAACCTAAGACATCACCAGCTTTGAAGGACTTGCCATTAGTCCAAGTATTGACATTAAAGGTCCAACCACCAGCTCCTCCTACAGTATAAATAGCTCCAAATGTAGGCTTGGTTAGAGTCAAGAAACATAATATGCCAACTACAAAGACCATACTTAGTCTTACACTGCCACTTCCCTGACCCATTTCTAAGCAAAATGTAACACACCTAATTTACCAAAATAATATAAAGACTACTAGAGATAAAGATATAAAGATGGAAGAATGAAATTATATATGAGCTATATTGGAGTGATTTGTTAGAAGTGAAGGAATACTATTTATAGAGCTAGCTTAGTGGGAGGATGCAATATGTAGTGATAGACCCAACATAGAGTGTTGATCTAGAGTTTACACCAACTGGTCCATAATACCTTTTTTTTTTCACAAAAAAATTAATAATACTTGTATATGGAAAACAATGTGTTTTAGGTCATTTTTAAAAATTAACAATCATCGCTTTGTTAGTTTGTATGCGGTTCTTAACTTCTTTTAAACACTCGAAATAATCACACGAATACTTTCTTGCTACCAAGTGAGGTTATTTTATAGATGACCTATATTATATTCAAGGTTTCCCATTGATATTTTTCTTCATCATATTTTTTTTTTTGACATTTTTGGGGTAAATTTTGGTTTTCCTCTACAAAATACTTTGTAAGACAATATATATCTAGTTAGGAATTGGTGCAATGGTTATGTGTGTAAGTCCAAATTTAGGGTGATTAATTACCTTTATTCCAAACATCAAATCTAACTATATATGTTTGTAATTTCATATCCTATAAATGCTATTAATCTATATTATTGATACCTAGCTCAATTCAAAATTCACAGTCGAGTTCGTTCACTCAATTTAATCATCTACTGAACCTATACTTTATCGACCACTCATTAAAGGCTTTATTGTTTAATTGTTTCTTTTTGAAAATGAGGGCATGTAAACCTTCTTTGGGGGCATAACATAGCATTTTAAGCTATAAACATATGTAACCTTTATGATCAAAGCAAAAAAGTCTAAAGCAAGTGGGTTTTGTAACTAATATAACTTCTGTCCTTTAGAGCTTTACCAACTCCATTAAGTGCTAGTCCTCCATTGTGAAATATAGTACTCCATATTAGACTTAAAAGTTAAAATAGTAATAATGTGTATATTGTATTGAGTAGTGATTGTATTTTAGACTTAAAATAGCTTAGTAATAATGTGTATATTGTATTATTGGGTTGTTACATGTCCCCAATGAGAGTATGGACTGCCTTAGAATTCCCATATTTAGGCTCTCTCTTCTCATTAAAGCTTATTCTTTACCTACCGCTACCACTTCATTGCATAGTTGCATACTTCCATCTACACAACCACCAAATTTAACTTTTCTAAAGTGGCAAAAAGAGTCATTCGTCAGAAATCTTTATTTGTTGTTGGAGATACATTATAGTGTCAAATATAGTGATCACTAATCATATTCTATTAGAGATATTTACATATATTTTCCGATATCTCATATCTCTAACATATTCAGTTTTTAGAAAGAGTTGGAATGCATCGCCACCATTACTTTTAAAGATTTAACCTTGTAGTGATACAGAATGCGATTTTAGCCAAATATTAGTCGAATAGTCGATATCCGTAGTTGTTAAACCTGTGTGTTGTACAAATAGCTCATATTGTATACATTTTAATTCAAACATCCTCCCAATATCCAAGTGTTATTTTTTTCACAATTCCAACACAATAATACAATACTTTCTTTTTTTTTGGACAAACACAATAACACAATACTTTCTCACATGTCATTATGACACCCCATATAAAACAGAAATTCTACACAATCTCTCCTAGTTAATTGGCCTTCTTAATTTTTGTGGTTATTACCATATATAATATAAGAATGTTGTAAAACGATTAAGGCCCTGTTCTTTTGAGCTTCTGGGCAGAGCAGAGCAGATTTCAGCAGACTAGAGCAGAGCAGAGCAGATTTCAGCAGAGCAGAGCAGATTTTAGCATTATTTTTATTAATATTAATACAACTATTATTATTAATTTATTATTATTATTATTATTTTAATTTTATTATTATTATTATTATTATTATTATTAATGTTGTTACTATTTAATTTAACTACTATTACTATCATTATCGCATTGTACTACCATTATTATTATTATTATTATTATTATTATTATTATAATAATAACTATTATTATTATTATTATTATTATTATTATTATTATTATTATTATTATTATTATTATTATTATTATTATTACTACTACTACTACTACTACTACTACTACCACTATTATTATTATTATTACTACTACCACTATTATAATTGATGTGTGAATGAAAACATAAATAGATGTGTACCACGTTAACATATATTTATAGTGAATAGATAAAAGACGATAATGGTTTAAAATATTCAAATTATTACAACATTGTAGTGTTAGATTTAATTATTAATTAATTCAATTTACTTTTTTAATTTCTTTACATAAAAAAGTAACAAATTAGTAAAATATCTTCCTTTTTATATCATTATTTTTCACTATTATTATAATAATGTAGTATTACTATTCCCAAAAAAAAAACATGTATTATGTGTTATTATTAAGATCAATATGTATTTAGAAATTGTTAGACATTATTATTAATAAATATTAAAAAATTTGTATTGTGAATTTTTAATTATTATAATTTTTAAATATGTACTTTAATTATTATGCACTTTAATTGTTAAGTATTATTAATTATTGGTTTATTGATATTATTAATTGATATTAACCTAGAGCGAAGCAGAGCAGATTTCAGCAGAGCAGAGACAGATTTCAGCAGAGCAGAGCAGGACAGAGGAGGGCCAAGCAGAGCAGAGCAAAGCACAACACAACAGCTCTAAAGAACATGGCCTAATTAGTATATGTAAATCTTAGCATGTCACAAATTAATCATTATGCAAAACGTACGTACAAGAAAATTGGAACTTCGATTTGGATATGGAGTCATGGAAGAGGTACTGACTTATTAAAAAAATTGATGATGTGAAGCTGACATCAGCATTGAATTGTATGAGCAAAGCTTATATTTTGAGGAAAGCTTATATTGTGCCCCTTTATTTATTATATTTTTATTACAGAGTACTATTTTCAATTTAAATACTTCCTCTGTTTTTTAAGTGTTTTAATTTGTCTAGACAATTATGTCAATATAATTAAGTTGTAGAACTTTGGCTAATAATATCTTTAATTAATTAATTATTAATAAATATAGATTATAAAAAGTTGATATTCAAAAACTATAATTTGAGAGATTCTAACAAGTAATAACCTGACTATATTATTATATTTCCCATATACGAGTATATATCATTATGTTGATTAGATTACTCCCTCTGTATTTTATTACTTGTTCCACTTTTCTTTTGCGGTCGTGTTTTATTACTTGCTCTATTTTCTGTTTTTTGGAAACCTTTAACAATATTTTACTAATCACTTCACTCTTAGTAGACTCTAACTATTCTACTTAAAAAATTTCGAATTCTCTCTCATCTCAACTATCATACTTTATTTTTCCACCAATCCTACTTTCAATTATTTTATTGTTTTCTACTAATTCTCATAAAACTCTGCACATGAAAAAATAGAGCAAGTAATAAAATACGGAAGAAATAGATACTTTTAAATTTTGAAGAGAGTATTTATTTAAATGGTACGATGAACTTTAAAGACAATACAAATGAAATGGAAATGGGAAGCTTGAACTTCTGGCCTATCATACATAAGTACTTAATAGTTAGGAAATTTTGTCAGAAAGGACCTTTTAAGTGCATTTCTTTGTCTAAAAGGACCTTTTAAAGCCAAAGTTGTGAAAGGGGTACAAATTTTGGAAAAAAGTTGTGACTTGGGACCACATGCCGTAATGTCAACGTTGAGTGGTCAACTCCGGCGTTAACCAACACTTGCAGCCACCAATTTCCTCTACCCCATCGCCTCCTTCGTTCTCCTCCCTCCCCCTCCCCTTTCACGACAAGTCGACAGTTCAAGCCACCCCCTTTCTCCTCCGTTGCCGACACTAACCTCGAAACCCCATCTCTTTCACATCAGCCCACTTCTCCCCTTTCCCCACCTCCACTCCCTTTCCTCCACCTCGATTACTGTATAATCTTCAAGCAATTTCCTACACCCAAACCTTATAATTTAGGGATGACAGAATGGAGCAAAGAGAGAAGATGAAATCAAATTTCTAAATGAGTTTAATGAAATTAGGGTATGAATTAAAATTGGATTAATTTGTGATGAATTTGGGGAAAGTTGAGATCTTGGAAATTAAGAACCCTTACCGGAGAGTAAGTTGAAAACGAAGGGGGTGGGTAATCGGGTGAGGAAAAGGATCGGGGACTCAGGGTGGAGGAAAGGGAGGCTTGGGTGCTGCTTAGACAATGTAGGGGGAGAGGGGGGCTAATGGGGGGGGTTTCTGCCGTGAAAGGGGAAGGGGGAGGGGTTGGGCTAGGGTGGTCAACGCCGGAGTTGGTGGGTCAAATTCCACTTTTCGGCAAGTGGTCCCAAGTCGCAAATTAAAAACAAAATTTGTACCCTCTAGACAACTTTGATTTTAAAAGGTCCTTTTAAACAAAGAAATGCACTTAAAAGGTCATTTTTAACAAATTTTTCTAATAGTTAATACGTACTCCGTAGTACTTATTAGTCTTAACCACTAATTCAAGACCGCCTCATCGATAATGTATTTCGTCATTTGTTGTTATGTGTTTAATGAACCGCGTTGTTTTGTCGTAGCATCGTGCTTAGGCGCTTAGCTTCATTCATTAGGCTCCAGCAGTCAAGCATGCAACACAAATGGATGACTTCAAAACTGAGCGAGGTATCATAATAATTCATAAAACAAAAGGGTCCATATATTTTTATATTATTTTTTTGTTTTTATTTTTTTATGTTCCACCGGATTTACTTTTGAATTAATTCAAAAAAAAAATTAATTTTCAAATTAAATAATAATACACTCGGTTATTAGCAAAGTATCAACTTTCCAAAAAAAAAATATAAAAATAATTAGCATTATTATTTTCTCTACGTAAACTTGTCCTTGAAAATAAATAGGAGCATGCAGCACATACAACGGCGTAATAGTCGTAAAATTACCATGTTTTAGGGTACAGATTTGACTCAATATCATGTCCTTTTCATAGGTTCAATTGATTTAACTTTGCTTTAATTGCCTTGTAATCCCTTGATTAAGGATCTAGATTAGGTTTCCATTAACTTTATTACTCCTTGTATTATGTGCATCAGATGTGACAATTAGGATGGTGCAGAATCCAATTAAAGGACCGAGCACTCTACATTTGACATGTATTCATTTGGATTTGAGTCTTGAGATCATGAGATTCATGTTTCAGTTTTTATTTTCTTTCAATAGAAATCATAGAATAGATGTTTCTGTTGGGGTATGCAATACGAATCCTACACGTATATATTTCATTTAGATGAGGAATTTGGAAAGGAGTTCAAAAATATATCTATGCGAGTTAGTTTTAAAACGGACAATATCAAGGTGGGTAGCCTAGGCTCAACAGTTTGAAGTATTATGCCAAATATATACGAGTAATTTTCATATTAGTTCAGTTGTCGGGGACAAGATTATATATTAAAAGAATCAAAATTTAACAAATCTTTCATAATGATGAAAGTGGATGACAAACCACCCCTTGACTCTTGGTGATTGTGAAATTGACTTTCTTGCAATTCTAGACATTAAGTTCCCTTTCTTTTTATTTATGGTATAAATTTGACCCGGTATAATTTCTCGGGGGAAGATTTAAAAAGAACGAGATGATGAGGCAAAAGTTATCTTTTGTTTCACAATTTCATATGACTTATTATTGTAACTTTGGACTTATTTTGATTTATTAAACTAAATTGAACTGTTTATGAGATAAGGAAATTAGAAACTAAACTGACTGAACTGAAATTAATTAAACTAAAGAGAACAAACCTTACAATATAGCGTTTATTTTGTTACCATAATTGCTCTTTTTTTTTTCTCTTTACATTAGTCAAACAATGAAACGACAAAATTAAGTAAATTGGTAAAGACGCTCTCCTTTAGTGGTATTTCCCTCCTCTCTACATCCTCCTAACACCCCTATCTCCCTCAATAGCGTAAAATGTTGGTCCGAGTTCAATATCCATAATTTGAGACATCGGTATAATATTTAGATGACTTGGACATTTAAAACCGTAATACATCATTTACGAGAAAATAATAATTTGAGGTGAAACGACAACACAAATATCAAGATTCAAGAGTGCAATACTTGAAAAAGTTAAAATTAAAACACATATATTATACTTGTACATAAATCCTCAATTTTCTTTCTTATCCATAATCAAACTTACATTTCACAACAAACTTCCTTAACATAAGCTAAGAACATGCCTAGATATTATAAAAGCCACAAGCACTCCTTCCTTAACATACATCACAATAAAAACAAAAACAACATTAACTTAAACAACAACTTCCTCTTTTCCCTCATCACATAATCCTAACTTTCTCCCTTTTTTCCTTTTATTTTCAACACACATACATTAGTAAACCTACAAATTCAGAACATTAATTAAGAGAAGAAGTAGTAGTTGAGTTAATTAATTAATTAATTAAGCAGCATTAATAGCAATCTTCATTCCACCTTGGCAATGGCCGGGGAAAGAGCAGATGAAGTAATTAACGCCTTTCTTCAGTCTAATTCTGTCTTTTCCACTCTGGTACGGCTTAACTCCTCGTGGTGCACTGCAGCTTGCAAATCCTCTGCTGTTCACTGGCACTACATTGTGCAGGTTTCTTGCATAGTTGAATACTGCATTCAATTTTTTTAATACAAGTGTTATAGGGAGTACATAATATATATCGCCTTGTAAAAAAAACTTTCTCTATCCACCGACGTAACAAATAATAATACTTATACGGAAATATGTTGCACTTGAAGTGTACTTATCTTATTAGACGTGATTAGCCGTGATTTTTGCTTTATAGCTACACCTGATTAATTTTAAAAATTTTATTTACCTAACAAATAATTATACTTTGTATTGAACTGTACTTATCTTATTAGACTTGTTTAACTATGATTTATTTACTATATACTTACACAGTTATTACACACGAATAATTTTGAAAATTTTATTTAAAGTGATCTAAATGCACTTTCATAATTAGTGGTTGGATTAGTAATAGTATGTTTTGTTTTCTATGAAAACAATAACTACATTAAAGGTAAGTAAAGAAAAAGGTACTTTTTTTTTTTTTTTGTTTTTTTTTGGACAAGTGATGTCAAAACAAGAGTTTAAAGTCAAAACAACAATTATAAAATCCGAGCTTACTTTTGATTGTAAAGTTGTGAAACTTAAAACCCACTAGGAAAATAGAAAAATGAACCAAGTAGAACTATACTAAATTTAAACTCCGTACATGTTGATAAATATGACAATGACACAATGATATTTTTTTCCTATCCATATTTTCATACAAAATTAATTGTAACGTTAATATACATAGTATTATAATCAAAACCCGTAAATTATAAAAAGACAACTAAATCCGAATAGAGGAAGTAAAAACGTAAGAGTAAAGACGAGATCTTACCAAGAATATCACCAGCTCTAAAGGACTTGCCTCTAGGCCAATTGTTGACATTAAAGGTCCATCCACCACCATTTCCAACATTGTAATAGGCAGCAAGACTTGGCTGAATAATAGCCAAAAGACAGAGTATTGCTACTCCTACTACCAAACTTGATCTTGCACTGCCTCTTCCCTGAGCCATTTTTTTGTTAATTACTTTAGTAAAAGATGATTAATTAATTGTTGTAAGATAAAAAAAAGATGTTAAGTTTTTTTGAGTGAGGAAATTAGAGTAGTGAAGGCCTCTATTTATATAACTTTGGTGGTGTTATTTTTCCATGAAAGAGGAAACTTTGGGCCCCACAATAGTAGATTTTGTTTGAATTTTAGGGAGTGTGGAATTTAAGATACTTAATTAATTGGAGTATTTATTTGCCGACTAAAGTCCTTTATTTTAATTTTATATATTTGTAGGTTATTTGAAATTTAAATCTAGGTTCATGGGATATAGTTGTTAATTCGGATATCTGAGTTAAATTTAGTGAAATCGTAGTACGCCTATTATATTACTCTGTAATATATTGTGTATATACGAATTGAAATCTAAATCGAATTTTTTTCGAACGGTATTCATAAGTCATAACTCCCAACTACTACAAATTTTTGGTCCGCAAAGTTACGTTGGAGTTCCACTGCCTAATGTGAACTCTTGCTTTTTCATGTCTATAATACAAAATGGTACCACTAGTCAGTCCACTACACACTACTCACTAAGTCACTAGTAGTAGTACTCTTCTTTGACAATATATGTTCTAGACTTTTAGTTAATCTAATTTTAAAAGATGCAAAAATTTAGACCCGTGAATGTAAACACAATAATAAAACGTACACATTATTTTATACTTAAGAATTTTGTTGACTTTATCTTAATATAATATGAGTAATTCGTATTTGGTTAATTTTTTAAGTTACGCAGTAGGCCAGTATCATGCAAGTTCACCCTTTTGATTGCCCAATAAATTTTCCCTTGTTAATCAATGTTATAGTAAAACTTTTTTTTTTTTGACAAACATTATACAAGTAGTAAAACTTATGATATCATCAATTGAGTAAAATCTCACAAAAAATTAATGCTTTTAGTTGATTTATAATTTCTGTTTTTTTTTTTTAATTTTTTATATACACTAGTATATATAACTTGTTATCTTTAGATTTTCACGATCTCCATTCTCCAAGACACATGTTTAACTGCAAACATGTTCAAATATTATAAAAATGATATAATACGTACAATGAATAAAATAACAAATTTTATGACACAATACATTTAGTTTTAAAAATTGCATCGCACGAGCTTCATTTAATACGGAATAATAGTGTATTCTCATAAAAATAAAAATAAAATAAAAAGTAATACTACAAATCAATGTTTTATAGTAATGTATTTTATATTCAAAGTTTTAAACATTGACCATACAAATCAAAATCTTACAATAAAAAAGGAAGTAGTATACATGATATAAGTTCAGTATTTATTGAAGATTCCTCTTTTAAATTAATATATAATATTAATTTTAAATTATATTATGCAAACAATTATTACCTCAATTTCATATTATTTGTAATTGTATGGGATGATATCTAGGTAGGACCGATATCTTGTAAAAGCACGTGACCAAACTCTGAATAATTGTGAAAAGGCGCCGATATGCACCAGAAAGCAGACATATCGGCTTGTCGGAATTCGGCACGTGGCAACAGAAGCTCGACACTTGGCGCAGGAGGCTTTGCATGGATGAGAGCCACCTGTCAAAGTGGATCATTATAAATAGTAGGTAAGACCTCATTTATGAGGGCATGAATTTTACTCTCTCTCTCTCTCTCTTTCTCTCTACTTTCTCTCTCATATTTATCTTCTTCTCTAGAACACTTTCTGACTTTGTCATCGGTGTGGTTATCCTCGGACCACCCCGGGGTTGGCTAACTTCTTCTCATCGTGTAGGTTCTCGGCTTGCCGATAGGAGTATCAGGATCTCAGGTCCGAGTTCTTGGGAAATCAGATCCAGACGGAAACAATTTGGCGCTAGAAGGAGGGGACTTTGATCACTTCTATCGCCTAAGAACCTCACACAAAAAAAAAATAATATACATAATAAAAACAATCATGGCCGGAAACAATGAAACACCAATGACAAGAAAGGTAGTGAATCAGTCAGTAGAACAGCCTCAGGTGGAGATAGTGGATGAAACCCATACCTTAGAGGATAATCAGTTTTACATGCCGATAACCTCCCCTGCAGGCGGAGGGGAGGCAGAGGATCCTATGGCGGCATTCACACCAGATGAATTGGAGACAGCAGCAAGGGTGATGAGTGCAATGAGTAGGAAGAGAAAGGAGGCTGAGGCGGCACAGGCTAAAAGGGGGGCCGCTCAGGCCGATAGAGGAACACCGCACCGTAACTGGGAAGAGCAACATAATCAGTTGATGAACTCGCCTAGGAGATCCCGACATGAGTCGCCGATAAGATCGCACACAATGTCACGGCGGGTTGAACAATCCTCAAGTCACACTGTGAGTACGAGAACCCAACAACAGAGAAGTTCACAAGTGGATGGGCAGGCAGTGCGAGTAGTGGTGCAGTTAAGGGCATCTCCTTTCGCCCAGCATATCTTGGAACAACCAATGGAAAAGGTGAAAATGCCGACTTGCAGGTATGATGGAAGAGGGGATCCGGCAAGATTTATAACGTCCTATGAGGGGCACATGATGTTGTATACCAACTCAGATGCAGTCTGGTGTAAGGTCTTTCCGACTACTCTGATTGGGGCTGCAGCCGATTGGTTCAACAACCTTGAAGTTGGGTCAGTAGATAGTTTTGAAATATTGACCGAGATGTTTGTGGGTCAGTATGTCAGCAATAGTGTGAGGCAGAGAACCTCTGGAGAATTGATGGCCGTGGAGCAGAAACCGGATGTATCCTTGAGGGGTTACATTAGACGATTTAACAATGAGGCAAATACAATCCCAAAACTGCAACAAGAAATAGCTGTGATGGCTTTAATGAATGGCTTGGTTGATTCTGATTTCAAACGGTACCTTACAAGGAAAAACCTGCCGACATTAGCAGCGGTGTTTAGTAAAGCTCATGATTACATTAAGAGTGAAGAATTGATGAAGACAAGTAGCAGACATGTAGTTGCCGGAAAGGGGCAAAGCCAGTATGAAGGGACATCGTCTGGAGGAAATAGGCCGAAAGCTCCTGCCCCAGGAAGGGGAGGAGGAAGCCGACAAGATTCGAGACCAACAAGGCTGCCAATGAAATATAGCACTTACACTCCCTTGAATACACCAAGGGCAGCAATTTACTCAGTGAATCAGAATGGAGAAGATTGGTCAAGGCCGATTCCCATGAAGGCAAGGCCAAGGGATGCGAAGAAGTATTGTATGTTCCATAGGGATGTGGGACATTATACAGAGGAGTGTATGCAATTGAAGGATAACATTGAGGAGTTGATTAGAAAAGGGCATTTGACACAATATCTGCTGAACACAAGCAAGAATCAACAACCGGCATAAACAGTTGAGAGGCAACGGATAGAGGCAAGGCCTGAAAGGACCCAAGGAGGAATAGTCCGACAAGGGGATGTAGGAATACCACCGTTGTCTACTGGAAGGGTAGATGTGATAACAGGGGGACCGATTCATGGAGGGACGATTAGTGGAGCAAAGAAGCATTTGGCTGAGCATCGTCACCTAGTTTGCGCCTTGGATGTGGACAATCGTCCTCGGCCAGCATCAATACCTCAGGTAGTGTTCACAGAAGAAGATGCAAGGGGTGTAGTGTTCCCACATGATGACCCGTTAGTCCTAATAACTAAGATAAACGGGGCTGACATCAAAAGAGTGCTGGTGGATGGAGGTAGTTCAGCAAATGTGTTGTTTGTGCAAGCTTTTAATGAGATGAATAAAGGAAGGCAGTACCTGAAACCGGTATCATATCCCGTAATCGGATTCAATGGATCAACAGTGAGGCCGGAAGGGAGCATTGTGTTACCGGTTAAGCTGGGTGATGGGCCACAAGCAAGAGATGTGATGGCAGAGTTTCTGGTGGTGGATGTTAAGTCAGCCTACAACACAATTATCGGCAGACCGATAATACATGATATGCAGGTCGTTGTATCAACTTACCATCTAGCAATAGCTTATGTGTCAAATTTAGGAGCTGTGGAGAAGGTGTATGGAGGTCAGGTGATGTCAAAAGCTTGTTACGTGACAGCTCTGAAGAACCCAGTTGGCAGTGCTCCAATACCATGCAATCCGATAAGGGAAGGTGAGCCAACAGTTCAAGATTTAACCATGAAAAACTTTGATGCAAGGCCTGAGGAAACACCAAGGCCGTTACCAGGGGGAGAAACCGTTCAAGTTGAGTTACAACCAGGCGACCCAAGTAAAACAGTGAAGGTTGGGACTGAAATGGATGTGGATACAAGGTGTAATCTGATAAGCCTGTTGCGTGAGAATGCAGATGTCTTCGCATTTTCGGCAAGTGAGATGCCGTGGATACATCTAGAGGTAATGGAGCATAAGTTGAATGTTGATAGAAAATTCAGGCCGATACGGCAAAAGAAGCGCAATTTCTCAACTGAGAAAATAGAAGCAATTCAGGCTGAGGTAAATAAGCTCTTAGCGGCAGGGTTCATTGAGCCTTGCACATACCCGGAATGGTTGGCGAATGTAGTAATGGTGAGAAAGCCGACAGGGAAGTGGCGAATGTGTGTGGATTTTATAGACCTAAATAAGGCTTGCCCAAAGGATTGCTACCCATTACCCTGGATAGATAGGCTGGTAGACTCAACCTCTGGTCATGCTATGCTTAGTTTTTTGGATGCGTTTTCGGGATATCATCAGGTCAGCATGCATAAGTCTGACAGGAATAAAACGGCTTTTATAACAGATGTCGGTGTGTTTTGTTATAAGGAAATGCCGTTTGGGTTGAAAAATGCAGGAGCAACATATCAAAAGTTGGTGGACAAGATATTTGAGAAGCAGAAAGTCCAGAATGTTGAGGTATATGTAGATGATACGATAGTAAAGAGTAAAGAAAAATAGGACCATATAGCGGATCTGAGGGAAACATTTGAGACGTTAAGGAGATATCTGATGAAGTTGAATCCGGAGAAGTGTGTGTTTGGGGTCAAATCAGGGAAATTCTTGGGCTTTATGGTCAGTGAACGGGGGATAGATGCAAATCCAGATAAGGTGAATGCGGTACTCCAAATGAAACAAC